ATTGAAAACAAAATTGACTTCTATAGGACAGGAGGCTGACGTGTACCATGAATTCAGACAATAGCCCAACCTCCACATTTCAGAGGGATTTACTTGATTTCTAGTTGTCTTGTGGTACACAGTAACTTTTTTCTTATTGCTTCTGGTAAAAAGGGCCCTAAGTAAGAAGTCAAATGCTTTTATTGAATTTTATAAAATTAATTTCTATACTAGAGTGCTATTCCATGGTTTGGGAATTTGTGAGGGTCTCTGATATCTGTTTTACTATATGCCAGGTTGTCACTGAGAGATATCTGGATATATTGTGACAAAATGTTTTGTCTGAAAGTTTAAATAATTAAACACTCTCCCATAAAATAAACTGTTATAAATATATAGCTAAAATAAATCTAAAGCCTCTCCTCTAAGGCTTCAGCTTAAGGAAACTAGCACAGCTAGTCCCAGAGAACTTGGTTGATTCTTTTTCTGCAGCAAGATGTGGATTTCACAGCACGTTTCTGAAAGACATTTGCAGTTCATAGTTCCTACCCTGCAATGTGGAGATTTTCTCATTAATCTCTTCCTAGAGGTTAAATTAACACATACATTCTTAGTATTTATGATCCAACTAATGAGATCTTCTCCTCCTTGACTGCAGATTATTTTTCTCCTCATTTCAGGAGATAATCTAATAATTTAATATCATAATTATGGTTCCCCTTTGCCCTCCTTAGCTCAGATGTAGAGATTCCCTCCCAAATTCATTTTTAAACTATAATTTAGTAACTAGTACACAGCCAAAATAAAATGAACTTCTCTTTGCTCATTTAGCTGCATGTTCCCTGACCAAATGCTCATTTAGAATCATGACTAACTCCTATGATTCATAAAGAAGTTTGTTGGTCTTCTAACTTTTTCAACCAAACTGAATTACAGTTTACCTCATTTCTGAATTTTAGCTCCAGAATTCATCTGATGGACAGCTGAAGCAAATTTGGCTGTAGTCATGCTGTATAACTATGTTTAATACACGCTTCCTTTCTCTTACCATGTGAATGTATATTCACAGATACAGCAGCAATGAGTTACCAGGACAATCTCCAGGACAATCCACAGAAAACAGAAGAGACAGCTAGAATGGAAGTTAAAAGGCTGCAGAGAGGACAACCTGCCTCCTCTTTCTAGAAGACAATGCCAAGTTTGCGGCAAGGCTCTGTCTCAAGGGGCTTTCTGCATAGAAATTTTTGTTAAGTTTATTTAGTAGGCCTAGAAGGAAAATTATCAGGGAAAATGATGTCAGGATCTTTATAATTGTGCCCTATTCTAGATAATCCGCTAACTCACTGCTTTGTAGATACGGCCAAAGGGTTTCATAATGGAAATGTTATCTGCAGCCAATACAAAGAAACTTGCTTTATCCATTATATACTGGTGAAGATTTTGAGTATTTTGAGTATTTGACCTCTGAACACAGTTAGAATTTGTTTATTTGTTTTTATAGAATCTCATTCTGTCACCCAGGCTGGAGTGCATTGGCACAATCTTGGCTCACTGCAACCTCTGCCTCCTGGATTCAAGCAATTTCGTGCCTCAGCCTCCCTAGTGGCTGTAACTATAGGTGGGCACCATCACACCCAGCTAGTTTTCTGTATTTTGGGTAGAGACAGGGTTTTCCATGTTGGTCAGGCTGGTCTTGAACTCCTGGGCTCGCATGATCCAAGAGGGTTGGCATTACAGGTGTGAGCCACCATGACAGGTTGGGTTTAAAAAAAAATTTAATTGCTGTGTTTTAACCTGAATTTTCAAAAGCTTGTTTCTGTTTACAAAATATACACATAATTATAGAATATTTAGAAATACAAAAAAAGGAAAAGTCAAAATTATCCATAATTCTAGTCAATCAGTTATATAACTGGCCCCTACCACACATATTTTGTCACTGGCAGGCTGAACAAGCAAGATTCATGTAATGTGCCAAAAGCAATAGAACTTTGTTTCCCATCACCCTTTAAAAAATATCCATAGAGGTTCACTATTCCTGAAACACCTACATAAAAAGTTGGACTGTTCTACTATTCCTGACTACTGATAATAAAAAGTTCTATAATCAATTTGAGTTAGCAGTCTAAAATAAGTAATTAGGTTTCCTAGTCTCACCATGATCAAAATTCTACTCTTCATTTAAAATTTTATCTTCTTACCACTACACCAGCTCAGGTCTGGTTTTGGGGAAGGGGTGTGGTCTGTTATTTCCTTCCCCAAATATTAACTCTACTCTCACCTATCTGGTTCTGGAGAAGCCTTTGAAATTAGAAGTTCAATGGGTAGGATTTTTCCTAGGTTACTGTGCCTGTCCTATGGGAGCTTCACACCTTCTGGGGCTCACAGATGTTTAAGGCTGCATTTGGATCTCCCGGGCATTTGTGAATTAATTGAAGCAGTACCTACTGCAATTTACTTGATCTAGACAAATGCAACTTTAATCTGGCAGGTCAATGTCTAATGAGTCACCATTACAAGTGGCAATTTTCTACAGGCAGGAAGGTAAACCACACTGGTTGTGTATCCCATGAGCTTATGTCTGACTCATGGGAAATGCATGTATACGTTTCTGCTCTCTACTTACAGGATGCGGGCAAGTCCCAACATAGATTTTTTTTTTTTGAATTTATTTACTAAGTGCTTAGCAAACCCATCTTTAGGTTTCTCAGATAAAATCAGACACCAGACTACCATGTTCCCGACACTGCAGGGGATATACATTAAGCCCTCCAGGTAGTTTCACTGAAGCTCCAGTCACCAGGCCTGCAGTTGAACTTATAATAAATTGCTCCAAAATTCCTCTTCATAAAATCTTCTCTCCACAATCTCCGAAACTTTTCTACCTCAGATATGAGAGGTTTAATGGTCTAACCTGTTTTTAATTATTTCCTTTAAAATATTGATATTTAGTAGCTAACTTTGAAATATCACTCTTCTTTATCATGGAATCCTAGCTAAAAGTTCTAATTTAACTTCTTAATTATCTATTGATGTATTCTAGCTCCCCCAACTCCACGCCCCACACACAAGTTTACATACACATTCAAGACTTGGGATCTGAAATCAGACTGCCTGGGTTGAGAGCCTGATTGTTTCATTTCACTAGCTCTTTGTCTCTGAGCTAGTCACTGATTCTTTTTGTGTCTTACTTCATTTATAAACTGAAGATAATAATAGTCCCTACTTCAACAATATGAATATTTTGAAGATTAATATGATAATATATTTTAAAAATGCTTAGAAAATTATCTAGCACATCATTAATAATGTTACCTTCATAGGCAATAATAAAATCATTAGTATTGTAATTATTATAAATGCTCTCTTTATCACTTTTTTGATTTATGAGGATTTTTACATGTCATTAAATATTCTCCTTTACATTGAGTTGTGATACCATATTCAGCGGTATAAAGGCAGTATGATTTTTAATACTAAACTAAACATATATATCATTTCTAATATTTTGTCACAACATGGTTACTATGTTAACACCTTTGTGTGCTCCTCCCCACCCCAACTTCAGAATACATTGATTGAACAGGAATTTCTGGGTCAAAATATAATTATTTTAAGGCATTTAATACATATTAAAATTATCCAGCAAAAATTTAGTATCACTGTATATTCTATTTTCAAGAGTATCTTAAAATTCTGGCCTGCCTAATCTACTATTAGATACTGATTTAAGAATGAGAGTATCATAGGAAGATAATTTAAAAAAAAAAGACATAGAATGTTCTCTTGTTTCTTAACAGAGCGTGTCAAGAGATTCCTGGAAATGATTTGGACCTGGGAATTAGCAAAGCTCATTTAAGGTTGAATGAGGAGAAATCCAACATATCTTCAGAACCAGAGAGTTCTGCTGACATAACGACACTAATTTTTTTTTTTTTTTTTTTTTTTTTGAGACAGAGTTTCACTCTTGTTACCCAGGCTGGAGTGCAATGGCGCGATCTCGGCTCACTGCAACCTCCACCTCCTGGGTTCAGGCAATTCTCCTGCCTCAGCCTCCTGAGTAGCTGGGATTACAGGCACGCGCCACCATGCCCAGCTAACTTTTTGTATTTTTAGTAGAGACGGGGTTTCACCGTGTTGACCAGGGTGGTCTCGATCTCTTGACCTCGTGATCCACCTGCCTCGGCCTCCCAAAGTGCTGGGATTACAGGCTTGAGCCACCGCACCCGGCCACTAATTTATTTTAATAGGAAAAGGAAATGAAGTGAGAATGAGCAGTAGTGGCTATCTATTGTGATGGTTTATCATCAGAAACTTAGATTTAACTGCTTTAATTATGTAAATGTATCTTGTTGTTTGAGTCTTAATAAACTTTTATTCAAATAAAATAAATCAAAATTCTGCTTCTCTTAGCATATATTTTAATTAAAATCCTGAGCACAGTAACTATAGTTATATAGTTGACAAAATAATCACTAAAAGGTGTAAATCATCTAAATACTTGTCTAACATAGAGAACATGATAATTAGTCCATTTTGATAATAGATTAGAAGTTTCACATGTCATAAGATAAGAATGTTGTGTTTCTCATTTTCACCATTCCAGATAGGTACCATTATGAAGAGTACATCAATTTTATTGAGGTCCCACAAACTCAATATTACCTGACTTCAGGTATTTTCTCTCTAAAGAAATAAGGGCATAAATATATTCTTCTTAAATATCTTAATTTAAAATGTTCCAATGTGGAAAACCATCTCTCTGCCTCTCTTTTTCTTCCTCTCTCTCTCACACACACACACACTCTCTCTCTCTCACACACACACACACACACTCTCTTACATACACACACTCTCTCTCTCACACACATACACACACTCTCACATACACACACTCTTTCTCTCTCTCACACACACACATTCTCTCTCTCTCTCTCAATACATGCCCACAAAGGCATATAATTCCATCAAAACAAGTCAAAATATTCACCCACCCACTGAATAATAGCCATTAGACGAACCTTATAAAGCAGTGGCAATTTTCCTAATTTCAGGAGTGCAATCCGATTTGTTACATTTTTCATTTTCCTAATCCTTTTTAAATCATCTGCCATTCCATAACTCACATCGATCACTTCAGCCTGAAAGAGGAGAAAAAAACAAAGAAAAATAATGTATTGGAGGAGGAATTGTAGTCAATTGTCCATCTAGCATAACAACATTATTCATAATAATTTGTAATGTTTAATATAGAATTAATTCTATCTCCTACCCTGTCCCAATTACCATAAACATGACCTTTCTATTTCAATCAAGGTACAACAATTCTTCTGGGCACTTGAGAAAATGTGTGAGTCATTTTTGCTTTGCCCTCTCTTGTCTAAAAATTTACAAACACAGTTCATTCTTCTAACAGACTACATTTGGAATATTTTACGTTCATGTCTCTGGAATATGAGCCATTTTATGAGACACTGGAAGATTAATTTCCTTAAGGTCCAACAGCAATTATATTATTCGCAGGCTTGAAAGAAAATTCAAAAGTTTTCTATTGCTATTTAAATGAAGTGCTATGTCCTCACTTGAATGGTCATCATGAACAGCTGCTCTTGATGACCACGATTTAAGACTGTGCAATAGCCAGCTTTGAATGAACAATACCTGAGCTGTGCAGAATACAACCTGTACAACCACATGTGCCAGTCGAGCAACCCAGGACTTTAGAAAATGGCCCCAAATTATCATCTTTGTCACATTTCCCACTATTTACCTACAGTTATCTTATATTTGACCTCACTGTTACTCATTTTTAAAAGTCCTCTTGTGTTAATGTAAAAACAAATCTCATGCCTTTCTGGAGATTCCAATAAAAACCTTCTCATGCAGTGAATCCTTTCCTTCTCCTTGAGAAGTACTGAACTGCAGATTCATATATTCCTATGAATCAAGATGATTGCTTTTAGCTTTACTTTCTGTAATATCTATTTATTGTTAAAGCAATAGTTGTTATGCTTTTCAGTGATTATATTATAAGGTAAATCTGCAATTTCAGATTATAGCATATATCCACAGAGAGGCTGATTTTAAAAAGTCAGTCATTGTAAATAATGAAAAAATGAAGATGGAGAATCCAGATCTGGAACTTGCCATCCTTCTCAATTGAAACTAATGCACTTCAACAAGTTTTATACATAGTATTTCCATAAAAGATTCATCTGAAGAAAGAGTATTGCTTCTATAGAAACATATGAATACCACCAAATGACTGGCAAATCTGTTAGAGAAAACATTTCTGATGTGAAATATTTCCTTAGCCATCACATTCATCTGTATCTGTAAAAAGTCTACAAATACACTTAAGTCCATTTCAAATGTTACCTACCTAATGAATTTTATTTCTCTGTTGCCCAAATATGGCCTCCCTCTACTTTGGCTACCAGAGTAATCTGTTTTTGCCTCTGTTAAGGCTCTCAAGAGACACGTCTGTCAGTTTCAGTTTCCGATACAGGGAAATTCCTGGATGAAGAGTCCATTACATACTCATGCTCACCCAGGTGTCCAGCATATGCTACAGACTCAGTAGCTCTTGAATCAAAATGATTATAGCTCATTCACTATCTCTGAAAAGTTAAGCTGTACTTTCAAATGGATTTGCCAGGGTAATGTAATTGTTAAAAAACCTTCTGTCAGAATGATTTTTCATTTTAATTTTATTCATATTAAAATATAATTAAATCAGTGCCTTTAATATAATTTTTTTAGTTTGCTGATACTATTACCATATAAATAACTGTTGATATATGATTTAAAAAGTCTGATTAAGTAAATGATCACATAATATTAATGATTACAGTATAAAAGTGAGAAAAACTTATATTTTCCATTTCATTTCTAAGCTACCTACTAATTATTTGTGATTCAGTGACAGTGCCTTATAATAAGGCTATTACTCAATTGGTTATGTAAATTAAAATCTTTTTTATATGTAGTAGAGATTAAGAAAAACCTTACTCGTTTGAGAAGATATAAATTAGTTTGTGTATACAGGCATACATCAGAGATATTGCAAGTTGATTTCCAGACTACCACAATATAGCAAATATTGCAATAAAGTGAGTCACACAAATGTTTGGATTTCCAATACATGTGATACTTATGTTCACACTATATTGTAGTCTAAGTGTGCAATAGCATTATGTCTAAAACAAAATATCCTACCTTAATTTAAAAATATTGATCTGAGTTTTCAGTACATTTTTTTTTTCTTTTTGCTAGAGAAAGACTTTTCCTCATGTTGGTGGCTGCTGACTGATCAGGGTCACAGTTGCTGAAGGTCAGTGTAGCTTTGATTTTTTTTTTGAAATAAGGCAACAGTGAAGTCTGCCACATCGACTGACTCTTCCGTTCATAAAATATATCTCATGACATGTGGCTTGATAGCATTTTACCCGAAGTAGAACTCCTTTAAAATTGGAGTCAATCCTCTGGAACCCTACTGCTGCTTTAATGGACTAAGTTTACGTAGTATTCTAAATCCTCTGTTGCCATTTCAACAATGTTCCTGGGAGTCGGGAAGACAGAGTCTAGGAGCAGATTCTACCTCAAGAAACCACTTTCTTTGTTCATCCAAAAGAAAAGACTCTTCATCCATCCAGGTTTGATCACAACATTACAACAATTCAGTGACATCTTCAGGTTCAACTTCAGATTCTAGTTTTCTTGCTATTTCTCCCACCTTTGCAGTTAACTCCTTAAAATCTTGAACCCCTCAAACTCAGCCATGAGGGTCAAAATCAATGTCTTTCAAACTCCCGTTGGTGCTGACATTTTGACCTCCTCTCATGAATCACAAATGTTCCCAATGACATCTAAAATGGTGTATCGTCTCCAGAATGTTTTCAATATACTTTCTCAGATTTATCAGAGGAATCACTATCTAGGGCAGCTACAATCTTACAAATATATTTCTTAAATAATAAGACTTTAATATTGAAATGACTCCATGATTTAAGGGTTACAGGATGGATGTTGTGTTAATAATCTTGAGAACAACATTATTCTCCGGTAGATCCCATCAGAGGTCTTGGGTGACCAGGTACATTGTCAAAGAACAATAATATTTTGAAAGAAATCTTGTTTTCTGAGCAGTAGGTCTCAACAGTGCAGTTGAATTTTTTTTTTTAATAATCCACGTGTAAACATATTTACTGTTATCCAGTCATTGTTGTTCCATTTCTAAAGCACTGCAGGGTAGACTTAGCATAATTATTAAGGGCCCTAGAATATTTAGAATAACAAGTGAGCACTGGCTTCAACTTCAAGGCACCAGCAGCATTAGATCCTAAGAAGAGTCAGCCTCACCTTTGAAGCCCGGCCTAGACTTCTTCTCTCTAGTGATGAATGTACTAGATAACATCTTCTTCCAACCTAAGGCTGTTTTGTCTACATGGAATATCTATTGTTTAGTGCAGCCACTTGCACTAATACCTTAGCCAGGTCTGATAGATAACTTGCTGCAGCTTGTATATTAGAACTTGCTGATTCACCTTGCACTTTTTTGTCATAGAGATGGCTTCTTTTCTTAAACCTGATGAATCAGCCTCTGCTAGCTTCAAAGTTTTCTTCTGCAGCTTCCTCATCTCTTGCAGCTTTTCACAACTTAAAAGAGTTAGGGGCTTGCTGTGGATTAGGCTTCTGTGGCTTGCTTGATCTTCTATCCCGGTCACTCAAACTCTCTTCATATCAGCAGTAAGGCTGCTTTGCTCTCTAATTATTCATGTGTTCACTGGAGTAGCATTTTTAATTGCCTCCAGGGACTTTCTCAGCATTCACAACTTGGCTGTTTGGCACAAGAGACCTAGCTTTTGGCCCATCTTGGCTTTTGACCTGCCTTCCTTATTAAGCTTAATCATTTCTTTTTATTGAAAGTGAGAGACACGTAAGTCCTCCTTTCATGTGAACAACTAGAGTCCATTGTAGGATTCTTAATTGGTTTCATTTCAACATTGTTTTGTTTCAGGGAATACGGAGGCCCAGGAGAGGGAGGGAGAGGGAAAATGCTGGTGGGTAGAGCAGTCAGAACATGCATAATATTTATTGAATTAGTTTGCTGACTTATATGGGTACATTTCCTGGTACCTCAAAATAATAACAACGGAGAATGGTAACATCAAAGATCACAGATCACAGATAATGCCAGCACATACAACTATAATGAAAAATTTTGAAATGTTGTGAGAATTATCAAAATGTGACATAGAGTGTGAGCTGAGCACATGGTACTGTGAAAAGTGGCACCAATAGACTTGCTAAATGCAGGGTTGCCATGACCCACAATTTGTAAAAAACACAGTGTATGTGAAGCATGCCAAAGTGAAGCACAATAAATCCAGATATGTCTGTATATCAGAAAGGTATGACGGTTATGAAAATGCCAATTCTTCAAAAGACGTTTACATTATTGGCACATATCAATAGGCTGAGTCAACAATAACAATTTTGATTAAATAAGCTCTTCAACTCATCGTCTCTAAATAGTACATATTAATAAATCAAAGTGTTTTAGCATGTAAGAGAATTTTTAGTTTTCCCCACAAAAAATATTTCTCAATACAGACAACATTATATCAATTTATTTTGGCTTATGCAGTAAAAATCAATAATTACGTAAGTCTCAATGTTCTGATGGTTTTGCAGCCAATGATAAAAATGTATCCATTGCCTTTAAAGGAAGCCTTAAAACTAGATCCTTTCTGAAAGTCTTTTCTGTTTGCCTTTCAAGCAAACTGAACATCACAGCTGCAGGAAAACACATTAAATTTTTCTGAGGCACAAATCAATATACAACGATATGATAGAAGGCCAAGTCATTTCTCTCCACATACACTCGTCGCTACAATGAGCCTCTTCTTTCTGCATTTATTCAGTCACACTAGAAAATTGTTCACTCAGCTAGTTGGGGTACCATGTTTAACTTATAACCAAATACCAACGATTAAGACACATCTTACTGGTCTCTATGGGAAAGTCAAATGAACAGAAATCTAGGTACCTAAGCTATCCATTCTGTGCTTACCACTGTTTTTCTCATGAGGGTTTCCTTGGCACATAAGAGAGAGTAATTGAGAGGTACAACTTAGTT